CGTAAAAGAATAACGGTATAATATATATTATTTTATATTATCATTTAATTCACATAAAATAACCAATAAAATCATGTAATAACTATACCGATCAATTAAAGTATGAAATAAGACAAAATTATATGCTTTGACAAGATAATATATGAATTTACGAAAGATGAATAAGTTAAATGTATGAAATTAGATTCGTAGATTAGACATTGGTTTTCAATACTCAGAAAGAAATAAGAACTGATAACTGTGAGCATTGTTATAGAAAGATAAACAAACTTTGAAAACAATTCAATCTCACTTTTTCGATTTATAACTCTTTCCTCTTGAATTTATTACATAATATCGTTTTTTTTTTTGTATAACCATAAGCTCTTTTGTGTATAATAATATTGTTTTTATATTTTACTAAAAACGTTTAATTATTTCATGAATTAATTGAATTATTATACACTTATATTCGTATACATATACACACACGCCTTCTTTTTGGTTCTTCTTCTTCTTTTTATTATTTTCTCTTTTTACCTTGGATTTCTAACGGAACAAATAGAAGTAAACTCTTAACAGGATTTCTCATCGTTTCCTCTCGTCGCTGGTCTTTTTCACGTTTGCGTGGATTTCCGATCTTTTTTTTCCATTCATTTTCAAAGAAATCGTAAAATTTACGAAGAAATCTTCGATCGGGATATTGATGAGTTTGTAGAAATTATTAACGTTTTACGCGTCATTCCTTTTTATTTGTATATAAGTATATACTTATATTTGTATTTATGTATATGCGTATGCGTGTATGTAAAAGAGAGTTAAGAGATTTAAGAATGGTACAGGATGGACGACCCTGATGGGTTCGCAGTCTTTCTACTTTCACCTGGATCTCCGTTAATGGTTGCATCCGCCAACGAGTGTTATGTCCTATTTATCATAATATCTTGTTCAAATTTTCGATCAATTAATTATTTCGTCGAATCTCGGAAAAAAGTGTCAAGTTACTATGTTTTTTTTTTTTTTTTTAAATTATTCTCACATGTTTTTACACGTTTTTACATGAATCTTTATCTTATTTATTTATCTCATTATACTAAAAATTATATCATTTTTATTTAATATTTTATCTAAATTATATAACTATCAAAATTAGTATATATTTATATATATATCATCTATACCCAAACACATACACTCACACAAAAACACATACATACACCTACACAATATTATCTATAATCTACTCCCCTGTTTTCTTTTTTCTTCGTTTTTATAAAACCGATAATTAATGAAAATAACGATCATAATTTGTATTGACTATAATAATAAAGACTATTGCAGTTGCAATGCTTACAAGTTGTTCTACCCACGCGTATTCATGCCCCTAAAAATCTTTGCGTGCAGGTAGAAATAGTGGGAGGTGGAGGAGGTAAAGGAGGAGAAATGAGAAGGAATGGAAAGGAACTAGGGGTGGGTAGGAGGAAGGGAGGTGACTTGCGTGGTTCCGTACTTACACATATGTATACGCATGTAACCATAAATCCGCAAGTCGTTATTTACTGGCTGCCGAGTTCATGCAAGCAGGCAGGCAGTTGCCGCTTCGCTCGAAGGAAGCTAGTATCCTCGATAAGATGAAAAGATAGTCGAGATACAAGGATGATAGTTCAACGTCAGTTCTATGCCAGACTTTTGTGTAGATCCGTTCAACGGAACTTTGATTTCTCTCATATTTTTCCCTGTTTTCTCTCACCTTTCAAGTCTAATGTGTTATTGTTAGACTTGGATAAAAATGACTAATAGGATTCATTTATTTCTTTTTTTTTTATTTTTTTATATTTAATCTTTATTTCAGTTTACTTGAATGTATACTTGATTCTTTTATAAGATGAAACTCTCTGAAAATATGATACACAAATTACGAAAAGTTTTCCCTACATACTTTTTTGGATTAATTTAGGCTAACTTTGGCAGTCTTTATATTTAACACAAATCTATTCATTATACTATTTCGTTTCATTAGATATAATTTTGATCTAACGCGCAATAAATGAATTACTGTTTTAGGAAGATTGAGTGCATCATGAATTGGATCAACGTTTTTCTAAATATTCCTTTTATCTCTAATTCGAAATAAAATATTTGTACTCTGATTCACATATTGAAAAAATCTATCCTATTTATAATACAAATCTAAATTTACTTCAGTTTCTGGTATCTATTTGCTTATCAAATCAATTTGAAACAGTGTTCACTTGAAGAAGCGAAAATAGAAATCAAAAGATCGACTCGAGTCGAGTAATTTAATCAGCCGATATTTTCAATCCTGTTTCTATCACTTTAAAATGTTTTAAAGTATCCATGATTAAATATAAAATCAAATAAAAAGAAATTTTAAATATATAATACTATTTCAATCTTATTCACAAAAGCATCAAATAAAAGTATAAGATCAAAGTAGTATATAAGTACGATTCTATTTCTGTCTTGTTTAAAAGCTCAGAGAAACATAAATTCAAGTATAAAATCAATTCTATTTCTATTTATAAGACAAAGTATTCAACCAATTCCATTTGAATCTAATTGAAAAATTCCAAGATATAAAAACAAAATTTCAAATTGATACAATTTGATTAATAGAAAATGAAACAAAAAAAGAACCAAAAATTCTTTCTCCTATCGATAACAACTTGTTATAGAAAAGAAAATACTGACGCAACATAATTAATTCTAAGCAATAAATGTCGAGTTATTTTAAATGTTAATTCTTGTTGACTCATTACGTATGGTTTGATTAATGAAAAAATAAATAATATTATAATGAATGAATAATTATCATGTGAACATACAATAACATAAAGTTAATTTATTTATCAGAGATACGTCGATTGCACGGTGTTAAGTCGTAGCAATGGTGGAGACGCTGAGGATTCTTCGTACGACAGTGATTACGAAGCTGAAGATTCAACGGGCGTTCATCCGCCATTGGAATCACGACTCTCGTCTTCCACGCATTCGGACGTGTCCCGTACTACTTCGGACACATTGGCTGCGGAATTTGCTGAGTATGTCACTGTTCAGGGACAAACTCCAACACAAAGTCCAGGTTAAAAGAAATGTTAACGTGTATCATTAATCACGAGCTTAAAACAATAATATTATCTTTTTAAACATTCATATATATATATATCAATTAGCATGTCTAATACTAATTTATCAATTTTATTATCAATAGGATATACAGCAAGAGTAGAATTCGCATTAAAACTTGGATACACGGAACGTTTGGTACAGGCTGCTTTACAAAAATTAGGCCCAGATCCAGGTCAAAACGAATTACTGGCAGAATTGATCAAACTCGGTGCTAGTTGTTCTCCAAAATTGAGCGAAAGTCTCGAAGAAAGTGATAATCTTTTTGACGGGGAGACCAGTAACGAAGAATTTGGTGGAAGATCTAATTTAACGACTACTACCGCATGTTTGAGGCCAGTTGTGATTGATGGTAGTAACGTGGCCATGAGCCATGGTAATAAAGAAGTATTTTCCTGTCGAGGTATTAAAATCTGCGTTGATTGGTTTAAAGCCAGAGGACATAGAGAGATCACTGTTTTTGTACCAAAGTGGCGTAAGGAAGCATCGAGACCTGATAATCCTATTGCCGATCAAGAAATTCTAGGTGAACTCGAAAGAGATCGATTACTCGTTTTCACTCCATCCAGGTGAGTTTATATTTATATGTCATATTTTATCTAGTTTTATTTTATCTTACATTAGATTTCGTTCTTTTTCCCTTTTTTTCTTTTTTTTTTATCCGACGAGATCGTACAAACCGCAGGCATAGAATTTTATTGGATACCTATAACTTGATATAACGTACGTATATAACGTTTTTTCTGTTTGTTGGATTTTTACAGACTGGTTGGTGGTAAACGTATGGTATGTTATGACGATCGTTATATTCTTAAACTAGCTGCTGAAGAGGATGGGATAGTTGTCAGTAATGATAATTATAGAGATTTGGCACAAGAAAATCCAGAATTCCGAAGAGTCGTTGAAGAGAGGATTCTGATGTACAGTTTTGTTAACGACAGATTTATGCCTCCTGACGATCCGCTTGGTAGAAGTGGACCTACTTTAGAAAATTTCTTAAGAATTGGTCCGAAAAAAACTGATCCTGCTCCACCATGTCCTTATGCAAAGGTTAGACCAATATCAAAATCAATTTGCAATGAATTTTAAGTAATCAAAGAAAGTTTGTGCCAGATTTTTCTTTTTTCTTTTTTTACGTTAATAGAAATAATTGATAGAAACATTTTCAAACGGCAAGAATTTTCTTGGCTTATTCATATACAAAGTGATTATTATTAATAATTAATTGATGATATTATAACTTGTGATTATTTTCATAGAAATGTACCTATGGAAACAAATGCAAATTTCGTCATCCAGAAAGAGGTTCGCATCCTCATAAATCTGTAACGGAACGTTTAGTGGAACACGCTCAGCGTCATCTTCAAGCTAGAGGTCCGAGTCTAAGTTTGCCTTTAAATTCTAGCACCCCTACTACTAATGTTACAACGCAACATCAACCACTTTGTAAAGCAAGATCAGTTGCTTTATCATCAAATGTTTCTCAATCATTATCATCCGTCCCTAAAAGTAGATCCGTTGAAAATGTCACCACAGATTTGTCGACAACTAGTCCAATTGTATATGCGCAACAAATATCGGCTGTACAAAATATGCAAGGTAAAAATCAAATTGCAATAATAATATATCGAATGAATCTCACAGATATATTTTATTTAAAAATGAATAAAAAATTAACGAATAAACAATGTTTCATTCATATTTCAAGGATATGTTTCTCCAGCTACTTGGGCAACGCCTAGAGTGAACAATTCGGATGGGGAACCAGTTAATATGCATAGAAAATTACAACGACAATTGACGTTAAATCCAGCATGCGATCCACGTCTTTATCAATTGCGAAGATATCAACAACACACGGCACCATCTTCAAAGCAACAACAACAACAGCAGCAACAGCAACAACAACAACAACAGCAGAAACATTCCCAGCAATCTATAATTGGTGGTCATCCAACAATTCAACATAGGCCACTTACTAGACATGCCAGCAACGAGTCTCCTTATTCAGTGCCTATAAGGTATATTAAATGTTATCCTGATTAATATTTGAATATTAAATAAAATTAGTAAGAACTTATAATCTCCAACGTGATTGAATAAAATTCAAAATATTGTTAGGATTAAACAAAATGTTATAAAATTATAATTCCAATTTCATTTTTATATAAATATATTTTGTTTTTTAATAATACAGTTGGGATCATTCTGAAGGACTTCATCAACACGTAACACGCATAGCTTCGGCACCAGATTCATATCGTGCTTGGCCTCCACGCGGTACGAATTTAATTACACCGTCTCGAGTTTCTAGATTAGGTACGTCAGATCCTCAATTAAATTTGTTACCGTCGCCGTCATCACCGGCAACGAATTTACACGGAGGTGCTTGGAATACGCAAACCCAAGACGCACGACGTCATTTGCATTATCACCTTGCTAATATTTTCCCTGAGGAACAGGTACAAGCAGCAATGGCCATGAATCCTCATGAAACAGATCCCCAACAAATATGTGCCACCATTTTAGCAATGTTTCCCAAAAATTAGTAAAAGTTTAACAAAAACTTGATCAATATCCAATTAAACCAAACAGGTATGGTAATATATCATTTGTACAGTAAGTGGATGTGATCGATTTGACTCTAACAATAAGTTAAACTTCGATGTAACAGAATTAGTCTATAAACGACAGATTTTCTCGAATCATCGGACATAGATCACAAAATGGGATACTTTTAGAAAAAAAGTTTTTAATAATAGGTGAAAGATCATAATGATCAAATCATTAAAAATGATTTTATATTTCCATAGTTGAAAAAAAAAAAGAACAAATATGAACAGAGTTAAGGATACATATTATGGAAAGATTTTTCAAACAATCATGCATCATTTTTAACTTCAATACTCTCTGTGAGAGTAGAGAAATGGGAACATAAGCAATTTTTTTGTTTGTTTATAGAAACTTTGTTGGATATATTAAGTTATATTGTTTTTTTTTTTTATCCATTAGCAAATCGTTATCTTTTTTCTTCAGTAACAGACAATACATTAAATCATTCTCGATTGTTTTATTAGTTTAAAAAAATTTACGTTTATTTGAATATAACGCACTGTATATTAAAGCAACGTTATTACACGTTTAAAATCTATTCTCAAATCTCCGCTCCGATTAAATATATATTTATAAAAGATTGAAATCAATTATTAATGAGAATTTATTTCAATTGTACATATTCGCATAATTGCGTTATGTTATAGATTGAAGTAACGTATATATTCCTTGTGTATATCTGTCCGCAATAAGATTAACATTTTCTTCCAACTAGTCGTTGTGGACTAGTGTTTCTTGGGTAGAGAATGTATCTTAAAATTAATTGATTTTAAATAACAAACGTGAAAAGAAAACATAATTCTGTTATTAAATGTATCTATTTGTCATTATACAGAGTGTCCCAGGATTTACCTGCCAAACTGTAGAAACATATTCTACGAGTAAAAATAAGAGAAAAATATTATTTAAAATTCGGTGAGAGAAAGATTTTATTACAAAGTTATAAACAAATGAAATTGAAGTTAATATCAGCAGATTTAATGGAAAAACAGTATCACATTTCTTTGATTTGTTCATAACTTTATAATAAAACATTTCTATACGAATTTGTAGAATATGTTCCCACAGTTTGGACAGTAAACTCTGAGACATCCTGTATATTAATATATATTAACATATGTTACCATTAAAGCGTGAAATCCGTTGAATCGTGAAGTAACCAGCTAAACTATGAAAGAATTATACTAATCAATTAAAGTATGAAATAAGGCAGAACTACATACTTTAATAGGTAAAATATGAATTCATTAGAGGCGAGTAATTAAAATATACAATTGAAATTTGATCTGTAGATTAGATCCGATAGGACAGTACGATTAACAGAACATTTGTTTTCAAAGTATAGAAAGAAATAAGAACGGATAATTACAAGCATTGTTGTAGAAAGAAAAGCAGACTTTAAGAGGTCTGACAATCCCTTCCCCAGATCGCTTGACAAATTTGTATATTTTTTTAAAATTCATAAAATTAAAAAATATAAAACGAAATATTTTTATTTTTGAACACACTATAAGATACAGTTTCAAGAATGCCTCAAATCAATTTTTAACGAGAAATATTAAATAATAGCGGCGTTATACAACAATTTCCGCACAACACATGCATAATTGGGTGTATCGCCGTCATGTTACGTCTGAAAACAAAAAAAAAGAATAAAAAAAATTCAACTTATTCATGAATAATATCGCTACAATGTAGCGTACAGATCTTTTTCTTTTCGATCATCGGCGAATTTTATGATGAGCCGAAGAAATCGGCTAAAGGTAACATACATATTAAGAAGGATAAGTCGTTTAAAGAGATAAGAAAGATATCTTTTTTATGATTATTTAATGAAAAATTAAAATGTTAATATATGTGTAAGCATATATAAATACACGAGATGAAGTGCCTATTTTTTGTTATGCCAAAATCTATTCTACAAATAAATGAATAGTAAAGGTTTATAGTAAAATTAGACGCTTCACAGTGTATATATATGTGTGTATGTGTATGGAATAAAGTATCGCAATACCATGTATTGTTTAAAACATAATTACAAGAGTTTCTGATCTTGTACGTTATCTAACAAAGAATTTTCTTAGCGTTTGTCAGAGTTGCATAGAAAATAAATTTAAACGATATCTTTATAATGTTTGCAACAGAAAATGTATTGCCATGATTGAAAATAATTTCAATCGAGCAAAAGAATAAGTGTTTTAATGTATTTCAATATACATTGCTATTATTATTATAATTATTTTATTATTACTATGTTAATATTATTAAAAATATATGCGTATACATACATATGTGTATATATATATATATACAGGATGCAGCAATAACTCTGTTCACCTTCGTTGTAAAACATTTTAAAAGAAATAATTGCACTATCGCAAAAGGAAAATCCAATGATGAAAGGAATCATTTCTTTTCATTTTTTCATGCTCTACAAAAGTATCGTAAAAAAAGAAATATATATATATACATATATATGTATATAACATATGTACTATGTATAATAAATTTGTATCACTGTTATTACGGATGGACTGTGAATTAAATGTTTTTCTATATATTTAATGAAATATAATATATTTTTTTCAAGTTATTAGATGCCGCTCACACAACTATAATCATCTTACTTAAAAAAATAAAACAAAAATTGATTTTTAGGTAATTTTGGACAAAAGACAATAATACATTTTTATATGTTTATTATAAATGTAATTACACAAATTCATAAAACACAGACTTTTACATATACAAGAAATAGAGAGAGGGAGAGATAGATAAAGAGAGGGTTTCATTTTTAAATATTTATAATTAAAACATTATATATATAAGCTGATTTAAAATAAGATTTTATGAAAATAATATTTATGCATATAAATCTGAAGTTAATAGTTAACAATATTCTTCTGATACTTTTCAAAAAGAGAAAATATAAATCAATGTAAAAGTCCAATCAAATATGATAGGAAATTTTCATTTAAAATGTCCTTAGTAAAATCTCTCTGAAAGAAAAGAGTAAATTTGGTACGTGGAACTGGCAGTTTGTTTATTTATTAATAATCTCATTGTCTATCAAAAAAAAAAAATGCATTTACACTGTTCAATTTTCTCATAAGGTATATATGAATAGTTAACTTTTGTACAAATTATTTAAATCATTTTAACTCGCAAGACATTGATTTATTTATTTTAAAAAGAACACTTTTCATTCTTTTTTTGATTACTTTATTTTTTTAATATTTTAATTGAAATAAATCTACGTCTGGCGAGTTAGAATTATTTAAATATTTTCTCCATTTTCCTAACTTAAAAAATATTACCATAATTCTAGTTCATTAGAAATAGATCTATCTTGAATTCTTAATTATTCTTTTTTTCAAACAATACTTTTATTTTAATCAACATTACAACTCTTAATAATTCAGTTGAAAATGAATCTACGTTTTGTGAACTGGAATCATTTTAATTTTTTCTCATTTAAAAACTATTACAATAATTCTAGCTCACAAGACAATGTAATTTTTTTTCTTTTGTACAAACGATACTTTGAATTTAGTCAACATTTCAACTCTTAATATTTCAGTTGAAAATAAGACTATGTCTTGCGAACTGGAATCATTTAAATATTTTCTCAATTTTCCTAATTTTACCTCACAAGACAGAAAACGTTTTTTAAAAATAAAATATCTTGTAGTTTTTAATTTTATTTGAAAATATATAAATTAAAATACTTGTGAGCTAAAATTGTTTGTTTAATTGGCTTATGAATTTTTTTCCTAACTTAAAAATATCTATCCTATCTATGTATATAATGTATATAATATATATATGTATATATATATATATATATATACACATATTATATACCAAGTGCATACAAATATTAGCTTCTAAACGAAGTTCTAATCATTAAATAAATAAACAAATTTCAAAGAATTCTTTCGTAAAATAAAAGGTAAGCTTGACAACTGTGTACAGTGTTTTCGTCAACTTCCGTTACCCGTGCATCAGAAACGTAATACCATTTGCCTGGTGGCGGTTCTATCGATTCAGCAATTTTGGCAGTCGCTTCGTCTGATTCAGAATTTTTATCATTGAACAATTCTTCAACATTTTTGCTATCTCTTGTAGGTAAAAATGACCATCTTGAATCATTTTGTTTTAACGGCATTCTCGTTTTCACATATGCAACGTAATGTCCATTATCAAGCGTTGAACCGTTATGTTCGACAACGCCGTAGAGAGCATATATTCTTGGTTTCTTGCTATTTTTACAAACAGGGGATAAATCAAATATCATTGGAAATGCGACGCGTCTACCTACTTTTCTATAAGAAACGCTATATGCTTGAAATCGTTTTAATTGTAAAATTAAAACTGGTGGAACACAGGATATGTGGTATTGTTTGGTATGCGATGTTCGAATCATCTTAGTAAAATTTGGTTTAACCTGAAAAAGATAAAACAACAAGAACAATTAATTACAAATTCATGATAAAATATAAATAATATTTTTGATTGTTTTAATAAAATGAATAGAAGTATTTTACCTTTTTTTCCGCTTCGGTGCATTTTTCGCAACCTACTTCGTTGCTACCGGACATTAATTCTAACATCGTAAATTCGTTCAAACAAGATTGTATAGAGTATTCATCCTTTCTTGGATATTTGGTAGGAGAATGGTGGCTATTATTAGTAATACCCAATTGCGAGAAACCAGAAGTTATGTCGTTAATACCAACATTAACTTCTTTTTTCGAATTGCCATTAGTCATTTTGTTTTTAGGTGAAACAGTTCGAACGGTAGAATTCGGTGAAGTTTGTTTATTCGTGACAGAATCGTCACTATTGTAAGATTTAGAAACTATCATTTCTAATTTGTCTGTGTTTGGCACATTTTGCACGTCTAACAAAGAACTCGTAGGACTATCTTTGGATGCAACAGGACTGCTAACAGGAGTCGCTGTTAACTCCTGATTATTGTGATTTGTATTACTATCCGAACTGTGTCTATCAGAATCCGATGCAAGTAATGGCAATATGTCATTCATTGATGGAAAAATTGAATCGTTTAAGGCACTGTCGTCAACAGTATTGCGATATAGAGACGTTTCCAAATTATCTATTGATTTATAATCTGGACTCTTCTCTACAAGTACACTCAGATTGTCAGGTGTAGTTGCTCTTTGATTATTATTAATTTGATAATTGGTAGGAGATACAGGACTAGAAAAAGTCGAAGCCTTTTCTGAACTATATCCGGATTCTCCAACTTCTCTAAGTGTACCCTCTCCTTCAATATTATCTTCTATGTCTGCATCACTCTCATCTGATGAAACAAAAATTAGGAAACATTAGAATCAAATTATTCAAGAATAATTCATGAAGAACAATCCTAAGAAAATATAAATCAAATTTTACCAGATTCTAATACACCGTTCTCTTCTATAATTTTAATTGGTTTCGCTAGCATATCCTCGTAATAATGGTCGACGGAAATATTTCTGTTTTTACGATTTTTCCTAGCAGCTTTCTTTTCTTTTTTCTGCTGATGTTTCGATAAATTGCTAACAGTGCTTGGATAACTGTTTCCTTTCATATCATAGGTCTCCTCGAATAAATTATTTTTCCTTCTATAATGTAGACAAAAAAAAATGTTAAACGAGATCTACGTATGTTAATTTTTCTGTTAAAGAGTTAAATAAATATCCATTTACTTAAAAGCAGGAGGTTGTGGTTTATCGGCCATAACCGGTAAACTAAGATCTAAAAATGGTTCAGTACATTGGGATGAATATGTACATTTCAAACATTTTAATGTCGAAACTAAAGTTCCCCTGAATACTGGTTCAGGACCAAGTAATTTTTTATTTATTTGGCTACCATAAAACTTGACCTTAGCTTTGACGATATTATCTACAGTTTCCTGTGATTTATTTCGTACGTTTAATTCTTTTATAATTATCGCTTGATATCTCTGTAAAATAAAACAAATCATTTGATATACAAAAATCAAATTGTTCTATATTAACACGATAAGAGTGATAGATGTTATTATTATTAATAATTTAATTCATATGTATTTATATTTAAAAGTTTCTTACTTTTAAATCTTCATTGCGTACTACGTCTAACAAATGTCTGAGAAATTCATGCACGTCATGTTGCCCACCGTCCATGCATTGCATAGATTTCTTTTTCAATACATCTATTAATTCTGTTGGACTGAAAGATTGTTGGATTTTGCAATTTTGCATATCTTTCAAAAGTTTGTACAGAACTGAAGTAAATTGTCCCACTCTTTCCAATTCTGATTTAATAGGCGGCTATAAATATTAAATACATTTAAATGAGTAAATCAATATACATAAATTTATATATATTTTTTTCCACCTATTAATCCTTTGACTACTGTAGGTGCATATGTATGCTCAGTGATATTTTTCTATTTTACTCGAACAGGCAAGTTACAGCGTTTTATTAAGACTTCAATATTTGTGCAAAAAATATATGAGATGAAAATGAAAATGTTTTATTATGATTTAGCTAGTCAAAGTTATAGTAACTTGATTGTGCACTTTGTAAAAGTGTTCAACTTACCAATTCTATTTCTTCAGAATTAGGACTAGGTTTGAATGTTCCTCCTGGTATCACAACTTTTTCTCCTGTAGTGCATAAATTTTCCAATACCTTAACCAAATATGGTGTTTGTGCTAAGCATTGGATAACAGAATTAAGAAAGCAGGTATTTCCTAAATTTTTTAAGCCCTATTTGTAAAAAAAAAACAAAATTTATAAGTTATTAATATGGGTGTATAGTTGATACGGATACAAATTATATAATTCTCTTATAATATGCTCACACAATTTGATTGGTAACACCCTTTATTTATATATATATATATATATAAACTTACCATAACTTTAGGAAAGTTATTTATTGTTACGCTTATCGTGCCTTTTACATCTTTTAAGTTTGCTATGCTCGATACACCGTTTATCTTATTTATATTATTTGCTAACGCTATTGTTGGTTTCCTCCTAAATGCATTCGTCATTTTTAATGGCTGAGTTGCCGTTGAAAATTCGTTTGCAATTAACCTTACAAGCTCTAGTTTTCTTCTAATAATAAAGTAAAAAAGTTTAGATATAATATGAAAAGAATATGAAAAGAAAGATAAATTAACAAAATTAATTCAATAAAGGAGATAGAATCTATTTATATTTACTTATTATTGAGAATAAGTTCCATTGAACATTCATAGCACCAGATAGTCCAATCCTTAATACTTATCGCGATATGATGAGGTTGCATGTTATTTTTGTAATGCTGTTGAGCATGATCCTTATTTTTGGATCCACAATTTTGCTCACCACAGAGTAGACATACCCAAATTTCCTGATCTGGTTCAACGGTCTCGTTTGTTTGATCTTGCAAAATATCGTTTACAATAAATTGTTCCTGTGAAGTATTATCTTTCTCAACAGATTGTTCTTGTGAAGTCTCATCTTTTTCAACAGATTGTTTCTGCGTAACTTGTTCCTTTTCACAAACCACACATTCATTCTTAATACCATTCTTTTTAGCATTTTTTCTAATATTATTTATATTATAAGACTTCTTCAAATGTGAACAAATTTTATCTACAAAACAAAAAATTAAATATTATTTTATTAACAATATCATAAATAAAACACATCAAATTTATATAAGTTAAACACAAAAGATAAAAAACTATTTTCTAACCTGAAATAGATTCCTGTGAAGAATTAGTGGAAGATCCTGCATTGGAACTACTGTTGTGATGTTGTTTGCGTTTTTTATTCATTTTACAGGAATCTAATATTGATCACAGATTAAGACTTTGTAATGCAATAATAATATAATAATTATTATAACTTATGTTTCTTCTAAACTTTACATACACTATACGCATACACAAATCCAGAAGAAATGTTTTAATTTGAAGACATTTTGTTAACTAATACTGCACCTTTGCACACATAAGTTATTTACTTATATTATTCATTGAAGTTAACCTTTGGAAACAAATTTACTCAAGAACAAATCTAATAAAGTACAAAATTTTATACAACCATTATTTCCAGAAATGTTGATTGATAATGACCTAGCATTCAGAAAGTTCTGGTTATATAGAAGTATCCCCACTTCAAACAATTCTACTAAATTTGTGATTTCTTAGCTCTATGAACCCTATAAGCCCTAGATGAGGTCGCTGCTCTACTTGTACAGAGTTAAATTTCAATGGCAATTCTATATGTTCTTCTTCCGTAAAGTTGTCTGACTGTTGTCCATGAGGACAGGGAAAAACCAAAGATATTTTACCAAAAGAATATATTTTAAAAGTTTAAATAATACGAAATACTTTTTTATAAAAACTAAGAATAAAAACTAGAATAAAATTACTTTCTCCGAAATCCTATTTTCGAGAGAATATCCAATTTATTATTTAATATTTGTTATATTAAAGAAATTTTGTTTAATGCTTATTGAATTATTACTCCTTTAAGAAATTATATACTTTCAATAAAATTGTTTCATCGTTAAATATTTATGGAGAGAAAAACCTAAAATATTTTGTTATTATTAAAAAACTATTTATTTTTATTTTCTGTAAACCTTGCGTATACAACACCTTGCGTTCGTTTGCTGCAATTTTACTTTTTTCTACCTTCTGATTTGATTTTTATTTATAAATATTGCAACAATAAATAGACTTCGTATTTTTCATTTAATTTTCCCTAGGAATTTAAGAACAGTTCTGGAGACTTATTGGTTCCGAATGGACATCGACGTAGAAGATGATTGGTTAAAAAGCCTAAAGCAGATACTAAAGGCCCAAGATATGGCGGTGTTGGTAATGGTAATTACCACGTGGCCAGTAATGTGTTCCGTCCGATAAATGGACAATCTTGGGAACTTTAGTAATAATTAATTACGACTCTAAATTTATACAAATAATAAATGTATTATATTTATTTGTACAGGCGCAATAACAAAAGCTCAATAATAATTATAATTACAAATTATCGCACATCGAGTATATACTATAACACGTCCTATCGGCTAGAAGTTTCAAAACGAACTGGACGACTAAAAGGTTTCCCTTTTGGTGAGGCGTTTATAGATAGATGGGAAAGTCTCTTGCTCGCGTGGTTCTGTGTGTGCCATCTGTCGACTAGTCTGGTAATGTGACCACTACAATATTTTTTATATTATCACAATTAATTAATAAAATTTTCTTTTTTAAAGAACAAAAAATATTTATAGTAGATTATAATTATAATAAATTATAAATTATTATATTTTGTCCTTTTCAAAGTCTTTATACATGTATAAAGATAGATATCATATATCTATCCTTCTTCTTCTGTTTCTGTTTTATAAGGTTATATTCAAATAGTTCTATTTCTTATTTTAGAAGAACCACGTGCAGAAACAAATCTTGTTATTTCCCGGCTCTCATAATGGTGCATCGTATTTGTGTAGTTATTTGTTAAATTTGTATTAATTTAATATTTCAAAATGAATAGTAAACAATTGTTGAATTTCTTTGATCGAAACGAAATTTACTCGAAAAAATTATTTAAATTCTTAAAAGTGGATGTAAGTAAAATTATTTTTGGTTAGAATTGCGGAAGTATATTTATTAATTTTTCTATTATTTCTTTGTAGAAATTTAATGTGACTCATTATAAGAACATTATTCAGATATTAGGAGAGTTCCTATTAAATCCAAATTGCACAAAAGATGTTGCAGATTGTTTTCCGAATTTATTACCGGTTCTCATAACTTCAGCTATTCTCTCGAACAACACGTTTTCTGATCCTTGTGAAGATCTTTATCATAAAAGAAATTGTGTTGTTCTTGCTAAGCTAGTTAATATAAATCCCGATTTACTTATGTAAGTATAAATTTTATTAATTTCTTTTTATATAAGTTGTATTAAGTTTTAACAACATTATTTTTCATTACTATAAGTTATTATGTATATCTTATTGTTTAGATATGTTTTACAATATTTTAACCATCATCCTGCACCATTCGAGTTGCAATTAATTACACCAAATAAGAAATCAAAGTCTTTCGATATCATGGAAATTGAATTCGAAATAACGGATTACGATATCGTATTAGCTAGTTATCAAATTTTATCAGCGTCTATAACAAATTTTAAATACAAGTGGAATTGGTCAAAATTTTATAAGTATTTGAATCATGAAGACGATAAAGTTAAATGGTACGTTTAATTGATTTTTAAGAATTATTTAAAAAAGAAAAAATGTGATCTTTTATCAGTTGATTATTTTTCAGGATCGCTTTAAAATGCATCAGTATAATCCTGGGCATGGCTGAGAGCGTTCGTTTATCTTATGCAAGAAAACTAATAGGTGATATAAAACCATTTCTTACTGAGCATGAAGAAAGCTATTTGGAACCATTTGCTTTAGAAAATCCATCATATAATATGGATAAAATGAACGATTTATTTCAAAGTTTACCATATGTAAAATTAGCTGGTAACGTTTTGTTGCCAGTATTTAATTCTAATAAAGTAGAGACTGATTATGCTTTTGTATTGACAGACACTGTAAATCAAAATTTACAGAATTTGGCTGTTGCACTTTCATCTAGAAAGTGTATTTGTTTACAAGGTCTAGTTGGTTGCGGTAAAACAACTCTAGTTGAATATTTGGCACGAATCACAGGACATGATTCATCGAATTTTTTTAAAGTACAATTAAGTGAACAAACAGATTCTAAAATGTTATTAGGGATGTACAAATGTACTGATATTCCTGGTGAATTTGTTTGGCAACCAGGCATATTAACTCAAGCAGTGATTGCTGGTAAATGGTTGCTTTTAGAAGATATTGATAATGCTGCGTTAGACGTCGCAAGCGTTTTAAATAATTTATTAGAAACTGGAACACTCTCTGTACCTGGTTATAGAGATAATATTTATGCTAAAAATGGATTTCAATTATTCGTTACACAAAGATTGATGCCATCTACAACAGGATTTAAAAAACAAATTTCAGGCGCATCAAATTTGTTGCAGAAACATTGGTTCTGTATAGACATCCAAAGTTTTACAATTAGTGAATTACTCAATTTGATACCATCTTTATTTCCTGCATTAGAAACTGTATCATCGATATTAGTAAACACTTACTTAAACTTTTCTATGGATAATCACACAAATACAATATCGAATGTACGATTTAATACTGGAAGATTGATATCTACCCGGGATCTTATGAAATGGTGTTCAAGAGCCATCATAAACTTCGATGTTTCTTCGCCTGATTCAACTTTAAAAATTTTTCAAGACGCTATTGATATTTATTGCTGTTGTATTTCTAATGCAGGTTAGATAATCATTATATATATATTTATTTTTTTTAATTATCTTTTTTTTCAAGAATATAATTAAATTTAATTAATTTTCTTTTAGAACAAAGATTAGATGCGATTAAATTGATCGCCTCTATGCTTAAAATAGTGCTTGATAAAGCCGAATATTATTTTTATAAACATACACCTCCTATCAGCTTAAATCCAGATTCATTTATAGTTGGTAGAGCAAAATTATTACGTAAGAAGTCAGAATACGCAAGGATGGCAGAGATTAAAACTAATTTTTCTTTTACCAGACCAACTGTCTGCTTACTCGAACGTATTGCATGTTGTGTCGTTCAGAAAGAACCAGTATTATTAGTAGGAGAAACTGGTACAGGAAAAACAACTGCTATACAATATTTAGCACAATGTACGGGTCATAAATTGATCGTAATTAATATGAATCAACAAAGCGAAAGCGCTGATCTTCTAGGAGGATACAAACCAGTAGAATTAAAATTTTTGATATCACCAATTAGAGAAGAATTTTTAATCTTATTTCAATCGTACTTTGCACTTGAACCAAATCAGAAATTTTTGAAGCATGTTGCATCATGTTATAAACAAGAACAATGGAAAACTCTTGTAATTTTAATGAGACATAGTACTAATGCAGCTTTGAAAAAGTTACAAAAACAAGAATATACCTTAACTGGAAAAAATGAAACTAAAAGGAAAAAGAAACACGACGGAGATGAAATGAATGAAAATTACACAGAAAATAATGATTTGAGAAAGAGATGGGAACAATTGGGAGAGAAATTAGAAAAGTTGGAATTACAAGTAAAAGCTAAATATTCGTTAGTTTTTTCATTCGTAGAAGGAAGTTTAATAAAAGCTTTGAGAGAAGGACATTGGGTATTGTTGGATGAAATTAATTTAGCAAATGCTGAAACATTGGAATGTTTATCAGGATTATTGGAAAAATCATCTGGATCGTTGTCCTTGTTAGAACGTGGTGATAACGAATCGGTAGAAAGGCATCCAGATTTTACAATATTTGCTTGTATGAATCCAGCAACTGATGTTGGCAAAAAAGATTTACCAGTTGGATTGAGAAATAGATTTACCGAATTTTATGTTGATGAATTAACGGAACGTTCTGATTTACAAAAGCTCGTGCATTCGTATCTTAAAGGTATGATTTTGTCTTTAGATGAGAAAGAAAAAATTGTTAAATTGTATTTAAAAATCAGAAAAGCAGCTGCCAATATGTTACTTGATGGAACTGGACACAAACCGCATTACAGTTTGAGAACATTATGTCGTGCGTTAAGCATTGCTGCGTCAAATCCTTGCGGAAATATTAAAAGATCTTTGTACGAAGCTTTTTGTTTAAGTTTCTTGACACAGTTGAATTATGATTCTTATCCAATCGTACAAAAAATGATTGTTTCTGCTATTTTGGGGGAGAAAAATTTTAAAGCAGTAATTGGGTGTCCTATATCTAAACCAAAATGCGGAGATGATGAGGACTACATATGTTTCGAAGGATATTGGGTTGTTAAGGGTACTTTAGTTCCTGATAGACCAACTAATGTGAGTATTTTTTTTTTATTCATCTATTAATGTAAATATATAAATAAGTATATATAAATAATTTAATCATTTTTTTAAAAGAAGTATTTTTCTGTTCAATTTATATTCTATTTATTAATGTATTTTTCAGTACATTTTGACGGAAACTGTTAGACGAAATTTAAAAGATTTAGTACGAGTAGTGTCTATTGGAAAAATACCTGTTCTGTTGCAAGGTGATACATCGGTAGG